CTTAAATGGCTTAACGTAAAGAAAAAACTACTTTTTAATGACTTAGTCATGGTTTATAAATGCATCAACAACTTGACTCCTAACTATCTCTGTGAACGATTTAAACAACGTTCCGAAATTCACCAAAGAGATACCAGACAGAAGAGCGAGCTTACGTTGCCCAAGTGCAGGATCGCGGCTGGGCAAAGGGCTTTTGCCTTCCGTGGGGCTAAAAGTTATAATTTTTTACCTAAATTTATCAGAGACACAGATAGCCTAAGTGGTTTTAAAAAGAAAATTTTTAAGAATATTCTTAATTCGTAACATGTGACTTTAGTATTTATTTAGTATTTAGTTTATTTATTTAGTATTTAGTATTTAGTATTTATGACTTTAGACGTTTTTATGACTTAATATCTTATATTCATGTATGGCGGAAGAGCCCCCAGGGGGGAGCTATGCAATAAAGTATGTATGTATGTATACGGAGGGAAATGATCATCGCCCAGATAACCAACAGTTACTTCCAGTTTGAGAAAGTCTGTGGGTCTGTCCTTTCGCGAGTTTTCAAGCCTAGACGTTAAGAAAGATTTAGAGAATACCTTTCAATCATTGACTGCTATGAACGCTGTCTGCTCATTAGTAAAATGTTCATAGAAAAGTAACCAATGGACCTAATTACACTATCAAAGCGGTTTTCGACGAGTATTTAAAGTAATCCGGATTTGCTTCAGTTAGCTAAAGTTCCGGCTCTATAGAAGCTCGTACTACTCAAACTAAACCAATCAGAAGCCAAACGTAAGCAAATCCCGGCGCGTTTACCTCTTTTTCAACAACAGCAACAACAACAACAGAAAGAAAATTTATTTTATTTTTGCTGCCCCAGATGGTTATGGGTTGTTTACATGGCTCTGATTCACTGTTTTATAATACTTTTATCTATTTCTTACCTCTCGTATGCATATTTATTGTACATATCACTTCAGAGAATAAAGCCAAAAGAAAACCTTGCATTAATGCCGCACGATTCAGTCTCTCACAAAAACAAAGTGCGTCCCGCGTTTGCGCGAGAATGATCAAGCCAATGAAAAAATTTGATGGACAACTCATTTCCTTTTGTAGCCGGTGGTGAATAGCGCATTTAATACTGCCACTGCTTTGTTCCAGCGCCGAATGGTTTCAACACATTCACGTGTTTCCTTCAATTGACGTGCTTCTTTCATCCGAGCATTAAAGGAGCAATGGCGATATCAAATAAACAGGAACATAATTGCATTTAAACGCCATAGTGCTCATCAATATTAAAACCTCGCGCCATCGCTCGAACGGAAACAACCGTGACTCTCTGTCGGTTTTATGTTACAGAATCTAATCAAAAAGTATACAGTATTAAACAAAGCTATTAACAAAATATAATTAAGTAATAAAGACAGTAACTATGAACAGTGAACTTAATATGTTCCTTAAATCATCCGCAAGAAAGCACAGTAGGTATTCTAGAAACTCGAATACAAATTAAGCTAATTTTAGGCTTAAACGGTCTTGAGTCAGAATCAATCATTCGGATATGAAGGATTGGTCAACACCTCATCTGCTCACCTCAGTCCTTATGCGGATTACCTTGGTTAGAATTTCCTTTTAACTTGCGATAAATTTAGGGAAAACTGTAATTCCTTTGCATGCTAATGTGTCTGTTCAAAAGTGACATCTTGTGGTTACAGATCAAAAATATCTCTGCTGAACTGCGACGACTGATTGGATTTCACGCAACAACTTAATGGGTGAATGCACACGAATGAAAACAAATCTCACAAGTGACGCACCTACGCTCCCCTTTACGAGAAGAAAAAACAATTAAAAGAAGAGGAAAGTCTGTCTTACGAAGAGTTTCCAATAAGACAGACCTAGGAGCGATCAAAACAAAAACAAATACAAAAACAAATAAATGGAATTTCGAGGAATACTTTACATCTCATAGTTTGGGCGGCATATTGGTGTCAAAGCTTTCTCTAGTTTTCCTGAGGAAATAAATCGTTTCCGATTGCTGGAAATATCCTAAAAATCAAACCAACACAAGCCTTTTCCCAATTTGCGAGAGGTCTGGGGCTTGGGATAGTTCATTTAAGCATATTTGAAGGAAACACAAAGTTTTCCGAGAGAACATTTCGTTTCAATCAAAGGTGAGTCTTCATAGACAAAATATACTTCTTACAAAGCGAAATGCAACATTTCTTAGTTCTAAGGTTTAAGGAATTCATAAACAGCTTAAAAGGGACAGTTTGCCTGAGTATGACAAAGATGGGCATCGATAAGCCACGATAAATTTATCGTGGCTTATCGACTAGCTTTTGAGATAGAAAAAAACAGCAAATGACCACGTCGGTACTGATTAAATCAATCATCACTCTGAAAACACCTACACATCACTTCAAATGTAATAGTAGCGAAGAATCTTTAAAAGGAAAAAAAACCATCGGAAAATACATTCAGAATCATTAACCTGTGACTTGAGTTGTCTTTATTCATTAAAAAGCAAGGTAAAAAAATAATAAAGAAGGCCGGTTTGGAGGAAACAGATATCAACTATCTGATCAATGGTGAGTGCAATATGAATGGACTGTTTATTTGCAATTAAAAAACAACAATTATACTAAAATAACCAAAAATAATAATATCAATTATAGCAACAACAACAGTTACAAAATCTTAATATTAACGATAGCTATTTAAATAAATATCGTTGTTACCATATCATCATTAATGTCCTTACTGTTCACATTTTCACTATCATCATATCGCAACATTAAATGAAACTTTACACATGAAATCTCCCAAAGCTAGCTAGAGGCGAAACGACTGCTCTAGATAGGACAAAACAAATATGCTAGGGCAGATAAAAGAGTCACAGAAATATAAGCAAAACAATAAAAAAGCAACCTTTCCCTCTGCAGAGGGAGAGGATACCGTGCCACTTGTAGACCATAAACAAAAATAGAAAAATTTCCCTTAAAATCTAAAAGTGGCGCTATTGCACTGTAGTCACTCTGAGTACAAAATTCTTTTATTCTTTGCATTGAAGGCCTACCGAGAAAAAAATAAGGACCCAAGCAGCAGTGAGAGCAGCAACACAAGCAGCAGTGAAACGGACGAAGACTTCCTCTCCGCTGCCAGGTGAGGGAGATAAAAGTTTTGTCCAGGGATTCCTAAAAATTGTTACAGTTGTTTCACAAAGCAGCGAATTTTTTCAATTTATAACAGCTGTCGGAAATAATATCAATCTAGTTTTACCTTCTCAAAGCTCTCACTTCCGACCCAAAATTCAGTCTCTAACTTAACCAACGTCACCATACCATCAGTTATCGACGAATGAGTGTCACTTTGTGTCATTTTCAGATCCATAAACCCCGAGCTAGGTCACAAAGGAAACAAGGGAGTTCAGGAATCATCTAATGTAAGACCTTCACATGTGCAAATATTGGTGATTCTCTTTTGGCTCTTTGGAAATGATCAAAGAATAGATTTTCAAAAGTTTCTACTGGCATCGTTACATTTTGAGTGCTGACTATGAAGACTGACTTATAATCTCTTAACTCCCATGACTGGGCGAGACAGAATTTCTCCTTACCATAACAATGCAATATCAAGAAGACAAAAGATGAGAAAAAAGGAAAAAAAATCAATTAGGGGAGTATTATTTAATTCACTACTTAATTCTTAGAACTAACATCTTGGGATTTTTATGGAAGATAGTACGAACAATTACCAGTAAGATCTTGGGAGAGAAAGGGTTAAAAAGTAAGGTGGGGTATAAATGTCATTGAAATGATTCAGCCACGTAGATGCATTTCGGTGCAAAAACATTAACATCTAACCAACTGTTTCCCTTGATTTGCAGGATATGGCTCCAAATGGGTAAGGAACAGACTTTTGAAATGTAACAGTACATAATTCACCATTGTTTAATTGTTCTTTCGTACACTAACTCTAAATATCTGTTGTTCTGAGATGTATTTTCTGATAACAGGATATTGAAACAACTAACACAAACTTGTACCATCCATATTTTCAGAAGCGGTCAAGGGGGTTCAAGCCCCCTCAGAAGGGTCAACTGGCCTGGAAAAGTAAGTTCTGCTACCTCGAGGCATGAATCGTCAATTTCTTTTCTGATTCAAAACTTCTTGCGATGTGTGCGCAGTAAGGAACGTTTAACATCATGCGGAAGCCACATTGAGCATAAAACAATACCATGCATTTTTACCATGTTTGTACCATGCATGTAGAAGCATAAACAACTTCTTAAACTCTTTCAACTACTAAAATAAATGTTTGTTTGCATCTTTTTTCAGCCCATGGCCAGGAAACAAATTTGCATGAAATCAGAGTACGTAGTAATTTGCTAACTGACCTCACGAAGTTTCTTAATCACAAAAACCTCAGGTGGCAAGCTGCTTGTACAAGTTTTTACCCAACAACATGTATTTACTTTACCTTTTAATATGATTATTCAATTCATTTATTTTTCAGTATGGCTGTAATAAGGAGGCATGTAATGGTAAGAGAGCTTAAGAATATAATTGAAACACATGAATTTTGTCAAAATGCTACAGTTCAGATAACAGAGAAAATATTTTAAACACAACTCTGTAATCACTTCAAACAGTTTGAGTCAGGCTTTTGAACGATTAGCTTTCTGTGGCAAAATGTTGACTTTCAGGAGGAAGCAACAGCTTTGATACACCCTGAGCTTTCCAGTAGTTTTTTTAGCTTGAACCTACAGACAAGTGCTCCTAAATACATAAACAAAAATATACTTTGAATCCAAACAATGAAGGTAACCAAAGAAAAAATTAAAGAGGAATGCTTCACAACTACACCATATCCTTTCTGTTGAAATCTTCAAACTCACAATTTTTTTAACACCAGGGATCTAGCAAGGTTACGGAAACAAAACATGAAGTTAAGTCGATTAACAAGGAAGAGAACTTTCCGAGCCCAAAGGTGAGTTGAAAATAAGGAAAGAGCAGCATGTATTGTATGTACATAGTACACAAAAAGATTCAAAACTTCTTGCGTTGAGTGCACAGTAAGAGCAGTACACAATAGAAGCAGAAACGATTTAGATTAAAAAAATACTTTAAACCCAAACATTGAAAGAAACTTAAGAAAAATTAAAAAAAGGAATGCTTTACAACGACTCCATATCCTCTCTGCTTCAATCTTTAAACTTATACTTTTTTGCTAGCATCACACACCAACCAATGAAATGGAGATTAACCAGGGATTAAAGTCCCTAAAATTAAAAAATAGCCCTACGAACGCAATGTTGAGTGGTAAATTAAAAAATAGAACATGTACTGTATATACTTAACAGACAGAGAAACTTGGGAATTAAAAAAAGACGTAAATGGCTTGTTCCTTCAAACAAAAGTACAACTTAAAAAAAAAAAAAACAAATAATCAAAACAAGAAATGATCTAATTTTTTACAAGGGTAAAAAAGGTACTAAAGGGTAGTAAAGGTTATGGAACGTATGATGCACGATCCTCGCAGTAGAACCTACAGACATCGCTATCTACTGCGAGGATCGTGCATCATACGTATCTAATACCGCAGTTCAAAATATATGAACTTCATATATTCCTTGTATCTCAAAGGTTATGGAAATCACTCAAGGAGTACAGTCCCTAAAATTGGAAGATATCTCTACGTGCGCAATGGTGAGAGGGATATCAAAAAGAATATTATCAGTGTCATTACTGTTACCATTCTCACTATCATTATAAGGCAAGATTTCATGAAATGTTGCACAGAAATTGACGAAAAACGATAACACAGCAAAATTCTACCTGCAGATGGAGAGGATATCGTAAAGGTGTAGAGCATATATATAAATTAGATTTTTTTTCCGATATACAGGATAACAGTTTGTGCTGGTTAATTTTAAAATTCAGCCATCCAAGGGCATGAATTACTACTTTACTTTTAGATTAAAAAATTCTTGTGATGAGTGCGCAGTAAGCAAGTGTTTAAAAAAACAAACAAACAAACGAAAAATCAAACATACTTAATTCCGAAAATATGGGAAACCAAAGAAAAAAAAGAAATGTAAACTTTCACAACAACAACATATCCTCTGTTTCACTTTCACTCACACAAAAAGCCTTGCGGCAGCAGCGAGTCCATCTAATTTCCTAACTAGACAAAATTTCCGAAAAAAAGAAAGATTTTAAGAGACTAAGTAAAATAATAATAAAAAAAACCTTTAAAAGCTTAAACCTTAAGTCTTACTTCCTATCTGGTTACAGCATGTAATTCTACTTCCTCTCACTTGTCTTTGATAATTTCTTTTAGAGATCCAATGAACAGAACATCAGAAGTCAACCTGAAGACCAATTCTACATTGGTCTACTGGAGGCAACGTGTTTGTTGTTGTTTACATTGTTTCTCCTCATGGTGGTGGTATATGTCTACATACATATCTGGGGAATTTGGAGTAACTTGTAAACTTGCCATAAACCCTTTATTCCCCATACTGTTCTCAATATATTTCCTAGGGGGCTGACAAGTAGACTTTGTTTAAAAATCAAGACCACCCTCAGTTGGTGATCATTTATTTTACTCTCGTGATGTTAATGTGTGAGTCAAGGGTGATATTGTAAGGAGAAATTAGATGATATTCACTCTTTGGAATCAAAAGAGTCAACGACATTTCAAAATAAATATATTTTCATTCCTAAACATAGTGCAAGTGTTTTGTTCACATCTCTCCTTTCAAATACATAAATTGGAATTCCTTCTATATTTGGGGTGATGGACCAAGGGGCTGATGTTGATATTTCATGGAAAAGTAAAAACAGAAATGAAGTGACTGTACACTGAAGCGGACCTCAATAGGTTTATTTCGCTAACGAGGCATCTGCCTGAAACAGAAATGCACACCAAGCCGCTGCATTTCCTATGAATAAAAATTCACCTAACTTGGGATGCAGAATGGTTGTTCAGGTCGCTATATGGATTTTATCTGAATTCTTCTGAACCTATAACATGGTGTATAATAATTGTCAATTGCATTTTGCACAGAGCCCTAAATCTCTGATCTCGCAACCATAATAGAACATCAAAACAAATATCTATTCAATATGGTCAATCTTAGTTAAGTTATAGAGAACATACTGAGGATGAAATCACTGAGTTCACCCTATTATGTTTCGCTCAACATGAATTCAAACTATACACAAGCTATTTGTAAAATAAAATTATGAAATGGACCATCTAAAACCTACCACAATGTTTATGTTACCTCCCCCTTCCCCCCCGGAAAAAAATTGCAATAAAACAACCTGCGTTTAAGGGAAAAGTCCATTTCTCACCTCTATAAAATAAATTCCCTGATCTGTCTACCAAGGGAGACTTGTTTGTTTACGTAGAATGGGCTTGTGTTCATTATAGGCAAGGTTAACTTGGGAGTGTTGTTTCTGATCGTTTTACTCAAAGTCTAAAAAAAACATCCGATCATAAATACTCCAGAAGATTGTTTTTGACACTGCCTGATTATTTTTAACAGTCCTAGGCATTCGAAAATTAGAAAAAAAAACCACTTGATTTGTTTAAGGTCAACAGTTTAAACCGACAAATCAGTCAACCAATGAAAACAAATATCTAACAGCTTAAATAAAAAGTCCAATGAAGCGAGGTAAATAAATATGGTAACTAACCACAAAAAGATATCGTTTTAAAAATTAGATATTCAAATGGATCTGTTCCAAGCTTTAGTTAAGATTTTAATTATTAAGGCACACGTTAGTGATAAAAATGCTTCTGATCATGTTTCGTCTTCACGTCTTAAACACAGTGGCTTGGGCTACTAACTCAGTGCTTCGATTATTTTCATCGTTAATCAGCGTGCGAACAAAAAAGTATCCTGGCAAAGGAAAGTAGAGAAATGTGCTGCATTAACTAAAGTAAACGCCTCCGAAACTAGATTATTTGAGACAGAACCTCGACACATCAGACGAAATGAGCCCGTTTGAGTTAAATAATTTCGTTCACCGGAATAACACTTCAAGCTCTCCAAAAGGAATAGAGCGGTTTACAAAGATCGACGGCAAGATCAGACGGTTTGTAAACAGTTTCACAGCTCTTTTACCCTGGTCTTTGTACGATTTACCAACGTCTGTATAATTTATATATTCGTAAGATTACCTTTACGGTTCTTTTATCATTTCAAACCGTTGAATCATGCAGATTTTTTGTTCAGGTACATGGATGTCGTCGAAGCAGACGGGCTCCAAAAAATCGCACAAAGATTCGTCCAAGATAGTTAAAACAATAGATTTCACTTTCTTTAAACGTCCAGAGATGGAAAATGATGAAAAAGATGTAAAAAATTTAAGTGCCATCGATGAAAATCCGTTACAAGATACTAGCGACCTAATTGTTGCCATAGTGACCGACGTGGGCTCATTTTTCAGCGGGCTCTCCAAAACAAGTCCATGTGATTACTCGCTGATCGTGGCGAGATTTTTGGACTTGGACGGTTTCAACTAGGTAAAGTAGTAACCAGGAGCACGCCAGGTTCCTTCGAGTAAAAGGTACAGTTTTCGCGCCACTCATATAATAAGCTTCTCACAGTTTGTACTTGAGATGTTAGCTGACAAAGAGTTGCTTGGAAGTTAGCGGTACCAGGACTGCTGGCTTGTTGCGAAGCAAGCAGTAGTTTTGCGCATCATTTTCCACCTCACGTCTCTTATTTTCGCCAGAAATTGCATTCCCTCTCCGAATTTCAAACCAAGAAAAGTGGAAAACTGTCGCCTCTTGTGGTTTGAAGCGATTGTTTAACGCTCACACAGTACAAAAAGGTCTAAAAAATCTTCCAAGTTTGAGCAAATCTAGAAAACAATAGTCTTAAAGGCTCCATGCGAAGTTTGAAACATTTTGACGATGGGATTATACTCTTTGAAAAACACATGTTTGTAGTAAACTTGCTTTTAAACTTATTAATATGCCCCGATAGCTTACCTATTGTTCGTGTTTTAGGCTGATATGGCTGATCAAGACATAGGACAAATCGTGAGTACCCTGGAAAATAGGTGGGAAAAGGGCAGGGGCTGCTGAGTTAGATGCCGGTCAATAAAATATTTATTACCGAGTTTCTGTTGTATCACTGCACTATTTTTCCGGATCCTAGAGAACAGGGAAATCTTTCGTGAACTTATTTGTTATTGACCTTATTTGTCCATTATGACTCACCAGCACGAAAATTTGGAGAAGAGAGAACTGTGACAATAACGGACTCCATTGTGAAAGTTGCACGATCAATTAACGTACATAACAAAACCCTTGAGGTTTCTATAC